AATGAATAGTGATTTCGCCTACCTTCATCACCATCCAAAGTTCATCTCATGGTCACGATTGTCCGTTAGTGTTTCATTTTTCATTTTTTTTCTATCAATTGGAATGACATGAAATTTAGAGTGTGTGCTTATAAAAAAATAGGCGAATTACAAAAAATATCAAAAAAATATTTTACATGAAAAAATTGATCAAAATAGCCCTGAAATATTTTGGGGGTATTTTGGTCAATTTATTTTTCACAAATTATTTTTTTTATATTTTTATTAGGTGCGCCTCACTAAGATGTACAAAGCCTTCAAATTTCAGATCATTCCGATTTGTAGAAAAAAAAATGAAAAATGAAACACTATCAGACAATTGTGACCATGCGATGAACTTTGGACAGTGATAAGTGTAGGCGAAATCACTGTTCATTTTCGTCAGCCCACATGCTGACTGCTACAGTGTCAACCAATGGATTGAATCTTGGCCGATCTGACGGTCACGACCTTATTTCGTATTTGAATTTTCATTTTTTTTTGTACAAATCCAAATCACTTGAAATTTTAGGCCGACATTCTACTTATCAAGGTGCACTTAATAAAAAATATAAAAAAAATTCACAAAATATAAATTGATCAAAATACCCCTAAAAAGTTTTGGGGGTATTATGGTCAATTTATATTTTTTGAATTATTTTTTTAATATTTTTATTAGGTTATCTCAAGTGCTTTTCTAGGAACCAACTTGGTGCTTTTGACTAACATAATTCTTCCTTGTCAACTCCTTCTATTATACATATTCTACCTAAAATTATGTAGATGTGGTTAAATCTTTAAACTTCTTGTACAAACTGTTATTTAGTTGCAATTGATGTTTTCTTTAAAAAAAAATGTAAGATGCAGAAATTCCTTTGGATGTTTGTAATTTTTTAAAGCCACTTTTTCCTTTCATCCATTCTTGACTGTATCGTCCTAACGTCATTTTTGCGGCCAATGTCTAAGATGCAGTTCCTATATTATTCAACATCCTATTTATTCGAGAGCTTCTGTTATCTACTCTTCTTTTTTTCTGGATGGTTTTTTTATATAGTCAAATTGCTTTGTTCTGTTGATTGATTTGTCCTTGTAATGAGTGAAGGATGCCATTCAAGGAGTGCCAAATCTGTCACAAGGTTCACTTCGCCCTCACCTTGCTGTTCATCAAGCTCATTTGCCAAAACAACATGGTAATCTATGGCTTTTTGCATCATACAACTCTTCATTAGATGTTCGCATGTGCAAATCACTAAACATTAAGATTATTCGGTCTATGGGTATGTCACTGCTATATATAAATGTCATTTCAATTGGAGGGTCCATCTAGATGAACGCCATAAATCTTTCCAAGTTGACTTTCAAATTTTTGAAGCTTTCAGGGCTTTTTCGTTGAAGCTAAAAAACAGACCAACATGCTTGGTTTTCTTATTTGCATGCTCTGTATTTGTTGTGTAAAAATGTGGCCTTAACTGCATGAAGACAACAAATCGGATTGAAATGATCAATTCTTTAATGAATTATGTTGAAAGGGATATTAATAGATGTCAAACAGATGTTTTATTGTTTAGTAAAAATATGGTTCAATGAATGGTTTATTGAGTTTATCATGGGAGATCTTAGCATGTATGATGGTTTACTTGCCAAAGCATCGGATACTTGTGATTGTCATCAACTGATTGAACTCAATTTTGATGAAATATTCATCTATTTTAATTGAACCTGAATTGAGCTTGTGTAGTGTGCAGAACTTGAAATTAACATATGTGAATACACCTGGTGTGCATTTGGAAGATGATGATGTTCTGCAATGTTTTTTGTCTTCCTGAAAATTCACTTCATAGTAACTTCCTAAATGTAGGAGTTAAAAATAACTGGACATCATTCGTTTACATGGTTCCCCCACTAAAGAGAATTGGTATTGAACTAGTGTCTTCTTGAGTCGTAGGTAGCAAGATCTCATATTAAGCATCTTTCGCTGCACTGCACTGTAGTACTTTAAATCTCTTCTCCAACTTAATCATAACCAGCTGTAGATGCTCAAAAGAGAACTCCGTTGGATCTTGAAGGGAGCAGCTAATGAATTTACGGAGTAGGGTAGGTTCCAGAGAAAGAAACTCGACAAATAAAAACCGGTTGTGGGAAGGTATAGAAACCCCTTCACAACCTTCACCATACTCTGCTGACCTTGTTATTGGATTAGTTTAAACATCCATCTCAAGACGTACCCAAAATCTAACTTTCCACCCATAAAAGAATCATGAAAGTCTGCCTGAGCTGATGCTGATTGAGAAGGGTCTCTTGCATGTTGTTTGGCTTTGATTGGCAATAGGCCAGGCATTAGTGCTTAAGCAATAATAGCGTGGATTTCCAAGAGTCACTTAAATGTGCAATGGGCTCCCAGATATGCTCCTGATCTTTCTCATTTGTTATTCTCCAACTAAGCTGTTGATTGCATTATGAGTTTCTTAGCGTGGGTGACTTTTTTTCTTGTTTTGGTGTGGGGATTTTTGGAGGAAGTAGACATGGGTCTCAAGTCCTACACTTGGTAGTAATTTGGAGAACTTGGAATAGAAGATGAGAGATCTTTTGAAGGACAGGAAATCAAAGTGAATTTGATGATTAGTAGTCATATCACTTAAGGTGTGCTTGCTTGCTTTGATCAGCCTACCTATATTCACATCAATCACCAGATGGTGGTTAAGTTGCATGAATATTGTCTGCAGTCTCAAGCTTTCTTGATAGATAAGCCAAAACCTAGGCATTCTAGGAAGACTGGAAGCATTACCTGAGGAGGGTCATTCTATGATGGCTTTCTTGGGGCATGCAGACTGATACATGCTTAATCACTATAAAGGTTCCCCTAATTTTATGTAAGTAAACACTTGACATTAAATTATTGAGTGTGGCTTGGAAGAAAGTGTACTTTCTTCGAAGGGTAGTTGCACATGTGAAGAGGTTGCGCATTTGTCACTCACCTTAAAAGTGTCAAATGGTGGTCCAGCCTAGGAATGCACGACAGCTTGCAAACTATCTTGTGTTTGGTTGGACAACGATGATTTACTTATTAAATGTATTAAAGCATTTGAATGTGTGCCCCAAAAAGAGGCTCAGGGGCTAGTTTGGTTATGAAGATGCTCGCCGCCTTCCCAGAATATGAAGAGGTCACCCTTTTTCGGCTATCAAGATGGCTACTGATTTTTGTAGAGAAAGCTTGTCGAATCACATGGGGGGATTTGAGATAGTGATATGGGACTGTTTGCTTTGTGTTACGATATAGGTCAAACTCCAGGTAGTTTTTACATGTTCTCTTATCCAAAGGCACCCAGACTGATGGCATCACGGAGTTTATTTGCTTTTTAGTTTAAAAAATCAATAATGTGGATCGGGAGTAGCTCTACACAATTTAACGTGTATGACATGTAATAGAGCCATTTTCATCATAAATTATATTGTGGTTTTGGTGGCTAGTGTGCTTGTGTGCATTCATCTTCAAAACAGAGGCTTGAACCTGTCAATTTTTTTTAAAGTTAGAAGATGATACATAAACCATTTAAATATTTTGTATAATACAGAAAGTTCTATCATGAATATTAGTCTATTTTGTTCTTTTTGGTCACCCGCCTCGGTGACCTGCTGTATTTTGGCCCTTTGGGTCCTCTTTGTTTTTCTTATCCATCAATACAATGTTAATATAATTTTAAAAAAAAATGTTGTGGGTTTGTGGCCAGCGCATGTGGGTGTTCACCTTTAAGACTAGTTTGTAGTGTCTTTTTTTTGTCCTTTCAATATTCCAAAGTGATACATGTACCATGGAAAAAGAAAAGAGGAAGTGGGGGTTCGATCCCTCAACCTCAAAAGTCATTACCCGCAACATCAGCAGATTTATAGAGTTTATCCCTTATCTACTGTATGGTTTTCTTCTTTTATTTCTGGATTTGCCAGATTGGCAATCGTAGCTGGGGTCAGTGGGTGGACGATTCCACTGCGTTAAGCTGTTTTTCAAAGCACTGCTTTTATAAATGGCTCTTTCATTGTTATCAAATGATTCGAGCGGTAATTGGATCCTAGCGATTTACCTATCTTTCCAAATACTACAAGTATATTTATTTATACTTTCTCATGTTCTTTTTTCAGGTATTGGAGGGCAGTCATTTACGTTATATATGCCTCCACCCATGGTAGCTGGCCCGCAGCAGCCATTTGCATTACCAGCTCCCGTGCCGATTTCGCAACCTTTTGCCGCTATTCGTCCTCCAATTTTTAGTAACAAGTTTCATGTATAAAGTCTTTGAGGACTTAGTTCTTTCAATTGCAACTAATTGTCGGAAGATTGAAAATTCTTAAATTTTGGTATGTGAATGTTTTGGCAGAAAATAAATGTGGCATAGCGCGCTGTATTTTTAATTGTCCTCTGGGTCATTTGCTTTGCCTTAAACCCTGTGGGTAAGAAGGTTTTCAATTTGATCAGGGTCATTTGCTTTGGCTTAAACCCTGTGGGTAAGGAGGTTGTCAATTTGATATTTGACTTTTGGATTCTTTCATAAACGCCTTTCTAGTAATCAATAAACATACAAAGAGAACCCCCAACATGGGGTGCAAGAAAGAAGGAAGCGAACCCCATCACATGCTGTAATACTGGTTCATTTTGAACTTCTAATCACGTCTATTGCTAGCAACAAGTTCTGAACTCTCTCCTAAAAAAAAAAGCAACGAAAGGGAATGAAACATCACATTGCTTTTACCTACCTGGAATCAGTCACAAGAGTTCGGAACCAATAAAAATCATAAAAAATATTGGCAAAAAAATGTGTTCAACAAGGCCTTTTTATGCGACTTAAAAGAGTAACATTTGTCTTTCAAAGAAATCAGTGAAAACGAGATTTTCTTTGCAGAGGTCTCTGTCCCCTGGCATCCTAGCAACAAAATGGTTCCATGTCGCTAACAATGACAATGTCATGAGAGTTCCTCCAATCAATCAAAACCATAAAAGATTTGGAAGAAACAGTATTCACTAGTGAACATGGGAAGGTTCTTACAAGCTAGAAAACCGATCTTTCTCGAGGAAAGTAACAAACACAAGATTTGTTTACTAGTGTCATTTGGTATCAAGGACCACCCAACGACAAGAAAGCGCAACAGCTGAAAACTAAAGGGCAGACTGCAATCCATTAATGGAAAAGGAATCAGACCACTTTTTCACCCGCTTTTACGATTGGGTGTGGTTTATATAGAGCCGAGGCTCTAAACAATCAAATAAGAGCCCACCTTCAAATAGTATCAAGAATACTGAAAATCTTTGACTAACCTTAAGTTATATTTGTCTTTAATTATATAATTTAAAGCTTCAAAAATAGTGTAGATCGAACAAGACTATGAAAACTTGAATAACTTAAACGTTGACGGTTCAAAAATGTGCTGCAGGATGCACTATTTTCAAAACTTGAAATCCATTTTTTCTCAATTCCATACATCGTTATATTGACATGATCAATTTGAAGATATTTGGGCATCTAAACAACCTCTTCTAATGAAATTTTTGAGGTAGGTTCCAATTTGATTGTTTAGAGAGCCTAAGCTGTATATAAGCTTTTCCGTATATGATTTGGCCTTTATAAAAGAAGGTTCACTACATCACCTTTTTTTTTTAACTTCTAAAAAATTATCATGCGGCAAAAGGGAATAAATCTCCAAATTTTCCTTCAAATATAACAGAATTAATGATTTTAATCAGGGCAATTGTTGTGGCATCAAAACAATATGTATTTTTCTCTCTTTCAATTAGGTAAACTGAAATTCAAAGCAAGCCAGTACCACTGCAGATCAACTCAAAACCAGGAGGAAGAAAACATTTTCACAAAAATTGGCTTAAGAAAAATTATTGTTGGTTTAAGAAAAATTCTTGCCCCATTGCGAAGCAGCATCCTTTGAATGCCAGCATTTTGAAACATAGATCCAACAAATATGGGCTAGGTGGTTTTGTTTTGTAGAGAAAGTTCTCATCTTTGAGTTAAAAAAAGAGAACAAAAAAAAGTGGATTAGTAAGAGTCAACTGGTAACAAAGCATGTTCTTCCAACATCTGTGGGGAACTGGCAAAGTGCCTCCGATGCTAAAACCCCTCAACAACAATCCGCATCATTGCGCTACATCAAACCTAACCCAGTTAAAAAAAGTGTGTTGAAAAAAGTCTACATAAATAGTACTAACACCGGAGGCGTCAAGAAGGACCTCAGCATGCGCAGAGAACCAAATTGCTAGAACGTAAGGAGAAAACAAAGAACTGGCTATTAACTACCGCGCATGAGATCATCATCATTCATGCTGTTTCTCGACTTCCAACCAACGGCCTGGCCTCTGCCTGTTGTTGCCCACCAAAATCTTCAGCAAGGTCAGCTCTGGTCCCTGAAACTGGATTCAAAGGGTCATATGTAGATTGGTAAACAGCTTGGGTTTCTTTTCCAGTTACAGTCATTTCCTTATCACCTTGTACTTTATTTTCTGCAATTTCCGTGCTTCCTGGCAAACGAGTAGTCGCGACTTCACCAAACAAATTCACAGTTCCAGTACCAGAATCTGATGCCATAGAAGACACTAACAGTTCTTTCGGCACTTGGGTCCCAATAACAGATGGTGGTGCACTAGGAGCTCGCAATTGCGTTTCTTGGACTTGGTACCCTGGTTTTTCCAATGGAAGACCTGTTGCACTTCTCTGTGAGGCCAATAATTCAGTCTTCTCATTTTCAGTGGTCTTCTCGAGTGGAGCAGGGGATGCCCCAGATGCTTCCTTTTTTAGCACAGCAGTAGTCGATGGAGGCATTGCTGAATTTGGCAACACTTTTTGGGGAAGTGCAATCCCATTTCTCTGCAACTCCAGATCTTCAGATTTAGGTGCTTGAGACTGAACATGACTAGCCTGCTTGGCATTATGCTGAGACTTGGCAGGTTTCAGACTAGGGTCAACTTTGGGGGGCACATTCAGCACCTTCTCCATCTTGGGTGTAGCCACTGGCACTTGGGTGGGAGCCTGATTAGCAGAGCGTGTAAGCTTTTTCTCTCTCTTTGACACCTTGCCTGGTTTCTCTGTCTTAACCCTTGAAGTTTCATTTCTATGCAACATTTCAGGGGTCTGTATGTTCTTGAAATCAAACTGTGGAGGTGGCGGTATTGATGAAATGAAAGGAGGGGTAGTCTCACTTCGAAGATACATTTTAGCATGTGGTGCCACGTCATTAGATGCTGATATAGGAACAGCTATGCGAGGCTCAAAAACCACTCCCCTTAAAACTGTTCCAGTTTCCCCGACCCTAACTGTGAGAAGATAACCAGCATCAAATGAGCCATCAAGCACGCCATTAACCGTCTGACCCACAAGAGCATTATCAGGGACAGTGGGAGAGGCACTTATTTTCTTTCGCCTCCTTTTCACGCCATCTGAGCCTGGGGTGACAGATGATGGCTTCTCTCCATGTACCAAGCTGTTACTATCTTTGCGGGGGCGCCCTCGCTTCCGCTTCACAGGGAGGAGGCCTGCTGAGGCCGGAGAATTGATGTCTACATTTTCTTGGTTTGTTTCCATTGCTGTAGGTCAAAGAGCATCCACTAGTTACAAGCTAGGTCTGTAAGCTACTCTGCAGAAGAAACCAGATGCTTTAGTAGACAGCAACCAACAAAAGAGTTAAAAGTTTATAATATTGGGAAACAAAAATTAAAACAATAAGACTGAATTCTGACTGAAAATGGCTGCCATTCAGAAATTTTAGACGGCTTGAAACAGAGGTGCCTTTACAGGAAATCAACATTTAACATTAAGGGTTGCATCTTTAAGAACCCTGTCTTTCCCTTCAGAGAAAATGAGTTGTAAAAATGTTGAGCTTGTCAATATGTTTGTTTACATGGATTCAAATATGAGCAATAGTGATCCTACGGCTATTCTGAATGCTAGATTGCAACAAATGTTGCCCCCATGTACTAGGGAGCCAATGCTAATTGAAAACATACCAGAATGGATGGTATTGGAAACCTGTAAATGTATCCATTGCAAATCATATCTACCTCATATCCCACAAAATGCACAAGAATTTTTGTGAACAGTGTAAGACTGCTGGTAACCGAAACTCTTAAACCACATGAATATGAAATATCTACACAATTATGGTTTGCATCTGTAATTATTATCCATCTGCTATCATACACTGATATTTTACATTGATAAAGTATATCACACATGCCCATACATGGATTAACTTCGTGGAGCTAGTCATAGCCTCATAGGTGTGGCCTCCCCTACCAGTAAATACCCAGGAGAAGAGTTCAATCATGACCTAGCTTGCAAAACTAAAGGTCCATATCAGAGATATGGGAAGAACAAGGAAGATTTGGTATATGGAAGTTCCACCAAGAGCATCAAGTTTTATTGATTGGCTTATGAAGACAACAAATATCCAAAGCGCACAAACATTTATGAAGCCCAGCATGAGTAGGATGACAACTGGCCATCCCATGAAGATCACGATCTGCAGCAAATAGCACTTTGGTCAATGCTCTGCCAGTGAAGGTAAGTGCCTGCCCATGGTTGTAAAGAAAAGAACATTATCATACAAATAATGACATTGCCCGTATTTCCACCTTCGTACTAGAATTGCAGAATAGGTTTATCTCTTTCCTCTTTGAGACACAAAAGGAACCTAGAAACACAAAAGTTGGCAGTGTATTGATGATAGCTAGTAGAGCCAACCCAGCTGCATTGGAATAAGCGATTAATTTCAAGGTATAGAAAAGGGAAATTGCAGGCAGCATCATGGACATGAAGTAATATACTGTACAGAGATATAGACAGCTGCCAAATGTGGTCATTGTGAAGCATATTTAAGGAAGTAAATAACAAGTACATGAGTAATTTCTTGTTGGGTAATGTAAAAAAAAGTAGGATCCCCAACAACCTACACTCAGTTGCATCATTAGTAGATCACACTTATATTTGATGGGATTGCATATCGAACTCATGTGGTGTGTCCAGTGTTTTGCTGTATGAGTCCAACTACCATCCTAACAATTGTCAGAGTACACTTGAGCTGGTAATGGAATATAACCTTCTATAAGAATATGCTACCTCAATTCCCATAAGCAATAAACCAATCCAAGAACCAACATCTGAAACTGCGAATGAAGCTGCTGTTTTCGACAAAGAATGCCTGTTGAATCATTTCTAGATATGAGTAGGTCATCCACTTAAACAAGTAAAGCCATTATTAAACTAACTTCACTCACATGAACATACTATAATCATCAGGACTCCGACAAAATCCCCCAAAACAAAATAAGTTTGTGAAACTTCACAAAGTCAGGCTCCAGGACCTAATTGAGACCATAGACCACAAAAAACTCAAAAAGGGCAAATATTTTGGCTCCATCCTTTGGCCAAAGCAAACGAAACCTGAGGATCCTGACACGACAATCTGCCAAGGCCACAAAAAACTCAAAAAGGGCAAATATTTTGGCTCCATCCTTTGGCCAAAGCAAACGAAACCTGAGAATGGGTGAAATTCAACTGACATCCTGACACGACAATATGCCATCACCTCCATATATATTTATTTTAACTCTCTTTTTCAACCAATTCTAGCTTAGAACCATAGGGCCGAAATTGTCGCCAAGACAGAATCATCACATTCCAATAATCAAATAAAATAGACACGAGCATGTAAAATGATAAGAACGAAAACCGCAAATATGTAAAAAAAAAATGGTGTATATCAAGAGCACTCTACAAATTTTGCTGAATCTAAAACTCAAGGACCAAAAATTTCTGACCAAAAATAATGTCATTTATTCACTATACATCAAACCAACAAATTCAGGCATGTATATGTAGATGATAGCCACATTCTGACTTAGCAACATTGGGAGCAAACTCAAAAAAGTGGGAATTAAGGCCACATTCTGTACCTGTTAAATAACAGTTATAGACTGAAAAAACCTGAAAACGGAAAATAGGGAAAAATGGAGTACAGAAAAATTAAAAAATAAACAAATTTTCTTAAAATATATATAATTTTATTCTAGAAGCCAGGAAAAAGTATCTTCATGATTACAGTGGTTATAATGAAAATGGCAGTCTTTTCTCTTTGGGTAGGTCAGCAGTGGTATTTGAACTTGGGTGTTGTACTGCAGTTGTCAACACCCTATAACAGCAACACAGTGTCCCAGGTTTGACTCCTACATACACTTGTCCAAAGAACCATCTTCCAGACTAAGAAAACCTAAATCCATTATAATGTCAATTACACTCCTATATAAACAAATATTATTTTGAAAGGATGATGCAAATTGAATTAAAAAAATTTATTTCAAACTTTATTTTTTATTAAGAGTTATGGGATATGTTGACTTGGGATAGATTTGTATCATTCTTGGAATGGGTGTTAAGGAATTTGTTGTTATAAAGGGGAAAACATTCTTGGAATGGGAGTTAATGGGATTTGTTGACTTAGAGGCGACAACATTATTGGGATGGGAGTTAGTGGGGTTCGTTCACTTAGAGGGAAAAGATTATTGGGATGAGAGTTAGCAGGATTTGTTGACCTAGAGGGCAAAGCATTCTTAGAATGGTTTTGTTGACTTAAGGGAAAACATTCTCGGTATGGAAGCGGAGCTAGTGGGATTTGTGGACCTAAAGGGGAAAGCATTCTTGGGATATGAGTTAGCGAAATTTGTTGACTTAAGAGATTTGTATGACTTATGGGTTCATGGGGCGATAGCGAGAGTGTTTATGGGGCATATATTGAAGAGATAGGATTATGTTAGTGGGGGTAATTTTTTTTTTTTCTAGAGAGTTTATTTTCATGAAAGAAGACAGAGGTTCTTCCCATCCGTAGCTTGATTAACAACCACTTATTTCCTCTATTGTTGTCAAGTTGTTTTTGTTTGCTTAAGATTGCAAGAAAGCCGAATTTAAATTTTTAGGCTCGTTTTGCATATTATATCCGGGTTTCTTTCGATCTTAAACAAACAAAAAAATCTTGAAAATAATAAAAGAAATAAGTGGATGTAAATCAAGTCAAGGATGAGAAGAACTTACTTATTCTTTCATGAAAATAAACTCTCAACAAAAAAAATTACCCCCCACTAACATAAACATATCTCTTCAATATATGCCCCATAAACACTCTTTCTATCTTCGAATATCGTGCCCCACAAATACATAAGCATACAAATCTCTAAGTCAACAAATCCTACTAACTCCCATCCCAAGAATGGTTTCCCCTCTAAGTCAATAAATCCCACTAACTCTCATCTCAAGAATGACTTTCCCTCTTAGTCAACAAATCCTACTAACTCCTATCCCAAGAATGTTTTCTCTTCTAAGTCAACAAATCCCATTAACTTTCATCTTAATAATGTTTTTCCTTTTAAGTCAACAAATCCTGCTAACTCCCATGCTAAGAATGTTTTTCCCTCTAAGTCAACAAATCTCATTAACTCTCATCTCAATAATGTTTTCCCCTCTAAGTCAACAAATCAAACTAACTCCCATCCCAAGAATGCTCCCTCTAAGTCAACAAATCTCATAACACATATCCCAAGAATGATACAAATCTATCCCAAGTCAACAAATCTCATAACTCCTGATAAAAAATAAAGTCAAATAAAGTTTGAAATAAATCAATTTTCTTTTCTTTTAAATTCAATCTGCATCATCCTCCCAGGGTTGGAAAAAAACCTCCCTTAGCTGATGGTGAAGCCCTACATCTCCACACAATTGTTCTTTATAAGGCATGAGGTTGAAAACCCAAGATGCACCCCCAATGGTCATCCATTCAGCATATATGGTGGGCAAGGCATTACTAACTGAGAGTTTAAAATTGACTGCCCTTGATGAAGAAGAAGAATTATTTCTCACCAAAGAATTTTGATTCTTGATCGAAGAAGCTTTCTCCTATGTTTGGTCTCGAAAGAGTTGCCTTGGAAAGAAGCAAATACTAACCGACTCCATGATTTTAGCATAAGTTAAAAACTTTATTGATTCCCAAAAATCTTTCAGGAAGTGAGATTCATGTTTGACAAGGATGCCCTTAGCTAATGGCAAAACCGCTATTGCATAGCCGCGTACATTACCAAGCTCGATAAATACTTCATCTGGTGTGCCCAAGAACTTCGCAATTGATAAGGCTGCTTCAAGGCTCAGCTGATTACTTCCTTTGAGCGCAAGGAAGAAAGGTACGGCCCCACAACTAAAAGTAAGGTGCAAAATATCAATGAAATTACAACTGAGGTTTATGTCTACATGCTTGTCTTCCTTATCTGATTCAAACCCTGCTTGAGATCTCAAATTCAGTATGAAAGCATGGGTTTGCATTACATGTTCAAGAATCACAAGAGCTACGGATGCCAAAAAGGAGCTAACAAAAGTCGGCTTACTCAATGTCAAGAGTAAGCTCATGAAATAAAAGAATTCCCCAACGAACCAAAGTCAACACAAAGTGCAATAAAAGAATTCCCACTTTAACACCAACTCATGAACTTGAACACTCAAGGCTGAATCTCTCGAGTTTAAGAACATGCATGCACTGTTAACAGCAGGGAGGGGGAAAAATCACATGGTCTAAAATCATGGCAAAGCACAAGAAGA